CTCCAGAGTTCGACCATTGTGTATTGGGATAATCATCACCATTATCATCATCAGACGTCAGCTAAGGGTGAGAAACACACATCAACTAATGTGACGCAGTATAAAAAAAGATAAGATGCCGAAAAAATCACACAATAAAAAAATTAAAAAAGCAAGTAACAAAATGTTTAATATCATATTTTGCGCTTGCCATGAGATGGTAACAGGAGGGGGAATCTAAAGGGGAGACTCACAACAAAAACGCCATTTGGGCCGGCGCTTCGCTATATCAGCAAGTGTGTCCAAGCAAACGCGTTCATCGTCCTTCGGACCGCAGCCCGGGGGTCGGGATGCACCAACCGATGCCAAGTTCGTAGTGAGGGAATTCGTTCCTCTTGATCAAGTCATGACAGTTTCTCCTCCTCATTCATCCACACGCAGGGTGCGCAAATAACGCATATTGAGGGAGTCGCTGTGCTGGCATGCGCAACACGTAGCCCAGCCATCGGAGTCTGGTGTGTGAAACGAAACTGGGCGGTTCGCTCGCTCTTCCTACGCCAAATACACGATGGCGAACACATTCGCTACTCACGCGGTGCACCCACCAGATATGAGGTAATCTGCGAAGGCATCGATGATCGAACGTGACTAGCCTCTTTATGTCTGTCGACTTGATGGGCCAGGTTTCGCAACCATATAGGAGGTTTGAACGGACGACTGCATTGAAAACTCTGCTCTTCAGGATGAGATTGATGTCGCGCTGGCGACACAGGGGGTGGAGATCGGTAAAAGCACCTAGAGCTTACCCTATACGGTTCGTGACCCCGTCTTCGATCCCACGGGTGATAATATAGCTGGACAGATACTTAAATTCCTGGACGACTTCTGGCCGATCACCACCAAGGGTCAGCGCAGGGGTGGGTTCCTGCCAATCTAGGAGAAGTACTTTGCATGTCGATGGAGCAAGGCAAAGCTCAAAACGATTGGCAGCCATTGCTAATCGGTCCAATGCTAATTGGCACGTTTGGACGCTGTCACAAATTAGGGCAATGTCGTCAGCATACTCTAACTAAAGAAGTCATTCATCAGGAAGCAGCTCCACATCTTGTAGATCGTGTTCAGCGAACACTGTTTCCAAGACTTCGTCAATGGCGAAGTTAAAATGGAAAGGTGACAGTGGACAACTTTGTCTCACACCGCTGGAGATATTGAAAAACAGCAACAGTTGACCATAAACCCTCACACAGTCCAAACTATGCGCATACAGCGCTCTGATAATGTCTACGTACTTATCAGGTACATGTTTTCTGAACAGACAGTCCCAAAGGGCACATCGATCAACCGAATCGAAGACGCCTTTAGTGTCGAGAAACGCGATTACGATGGGTCGCCAATAGATACAGCGGTGCTCCAACAACTGGTCCAAAGTAACATGTGGTCGATGCATAGTCGATTTCGACGAAACCCGGCCTGCTCTCACTAATCTGACTTTCATGAGTGCCAGTCAGTCTATGGAGGACGACAGAGAGGCAATTGAGAGCAGACCGACCCCTCTATGATTGCCGCATCCCGAAAGGGAGTCTTCCTTGAAAATTGGGACTATGACGGAGCATCTCCAGTCTGTTGGGACAGTCTCCTGCTTTCACAGCTTCACAAACAAGTTACTTAATTCATCTACAGGAACAGGTCCCCCCCCCAATTTGAAGAGAGCTGAAGAAATTCTATCTGGAACCGCGGCCTTATTCAATTTCAACAATTTGATCTCAGGTTCGACTTCTGTGTGAGGGCGGATCCAAGGAGACGGCTCAGGGAAAAGGGAAATCAATACCCGAAAACGAAGGTGATAACAGGTTGATTAAACTGCTTTGCAAAGTATTCAGCCTAACACTCCAAGTGTTTTGACAAGCAGTGGATCAGCTGTCCGCTGTCGTCGCGTATGGTCTCGATAACACCAGGTCTACCTCCGCCCGTTTCTCGTATCAGACGGAATAACTTACTATGGTTACCAACAGCAGCGGCTGTTTCCATCTCCGAAGCACGATAAGACTACCAGGCTAGTACGCAGTTTTGCCCTGAGATTTCTGCGAGTCTCATTGTGTTCGCTTTCAACTAGAATACGTCGATGAACATCCAGAAGTTCCAGAGACTGTGCAGAGACCCAATGTCCAGGTTGGCAATTTTGATTTGCCACAATGGGATAAAGTACAGTTGTTGGGTGCTGTAAGTCCGGACTGGGTGATAGGCGTGCTATCTATATACACGAAACACTGCATGCTTTAGCAGTATATATTCCCTCACACAAGTGCCTCCACGACTCTGTATTATAAATGTGCAAACAGATAACCACCTTTTACTCCTTGGATGCGTATACGTGCACCCTAATTCCAATTCGGTAAAGACTAATGCATTGCAAGAACTGCTCTGTTACGAAACAGATCAGGCAGCCAAGTAGGAAATGATAGGTGGAGAGTTCAACATGCCTGACTTTTCGGATGGACACAGCATGTTACATCTCCCACCAGAAAGATCAACATATTAAATTAGCTAGTTACCATTGGTCTAATACCAGATTTCGCTGGTGTCCTGGAACTCTTTACTGGTAGTAAATCGTTGCTGGCCGGACGAGGTGCACGTGACCGTTCTAGGCCCAATGAGTGGTTCCCCCCAGTGTGGAGCGGACTGCGTCCCAGCCACCGCCTTGTGTACATCTTGTACACATGATTCCATACATAGATAGACAGGAATGCTGCTGCTATGTATGTTGAAGCAGCGTGGACCAGCTCCGTTGATGCAACATGGCTCCCATCCACATACCTCGCGGTGTTATTCCTTCCGGTTCACACTGGTTATGAGGTTTGTAGATGGAGCTGTGGGTGGTGCAGCGAGAGCCACTCATGGTCCCTTCGTGGGCACAGGCGTTCTGTGACTGTCCTATGGAGGTCGCAGTGACCGACAAATCCAAAGTCGGATGCCGCCGACCATGTTATGTACCTGGGACCAGAGCCAGGCGCAGGTGGGTTGGCAGGCTTGCACCAATTTGACAAGGGGTTAGATGACTTGAGGCGGGCGGCAACAGATTAATGAACACCAGAAGGTGCCCTCCCACCGTCAGAGACGATGCTTGGCGCTAGTGTTCTATGCAAATCCAGCTGTGCGCTTGTAACCGGTAGACATGGTGCATCCCATGGCTAGAACTAAAAGGAAGAGGGCCATTGACCTCTCCTTAACCTCCGAAGAGAATGGGGTTGTGAGACTGAGTTAGTCCGACCGCCAAACATTGACCTGTCTGGTATGAGCGGCTCTAAAGGCACTTGGATGTGCCAACCAGCGTAGCTCAATTGGTCAAAGAGGTACGCAAACCATCGCACCACGTTAAGTCCAGTCTCTTTGCGATGCAGTTGGTTAACCGAACTAAACTTAAATAAAAAAACAACGTGCATTTTGGCGACATACTCGGATCTGTCTATTAACACCCATCCCGATCGTTTATCTGGTCTAGAAAGGATGAGTTCAGGATTCGATCGTAATCCTTTAATTGCCTCTCGATGTTTCTTGGTCAGGATATTTGACGACCTTTTCTCGTAACGAAGGTACTGTTGACAAATATGCACCAATGTGATTTTAAAAGAGTCTCGGACAAGGGAAGACGTGGGTGTTAATTCGGTCATTTGGTGCAGTAGGTTTTCAAACTGGGTTTCTAGGTGAACTTGACCGCAAGTCGGTTGAGTGAAGCAAAATTTCGGTCCGAGAGATAAAGCTTCAAGCTGCAGCTGATTCAGTGGTATACTGGATAGGTTGTATACATATCTATCTGGATTCATTGGAAATTTGGGTTCTGGTTGAGTCGGATGTAGGCATTTTAGAAGCTTCAAATGTCTTCTTTCTTCAACTTTTGAGATTTCTTTCATGTATTGCTTAAAAGAATCTTTACGAACCTAGTGTCGAAGAGCTTTGTACCGTACAACGAGATTCTTTTAAACAATACATGATAGAAATCTGCTCAAAAGTTGGAGGAAGAAGACATTTGAAGCTTCTAAAATACCTACATCCGACTCAACCAGAACCCAAATTTCCAATGAATCCAGATAGATATGTATACAACTTATCCAGTATACCACTGAAACCCAGTTTGAAAAGCTAATGCACCAACTGTCTGAATTAACATCCACGTCTTCCCTTGCCCGAAACTCTTTTAAAATCACATTGGTGCATATTTGTCAACAGTACCTTCGTTACGAGAAAAGGTCGTCAAACATCCTGACCAAGAAACATCGAGAGGCAATTAAAGAATTACGATCGAATCCTGACCTCATCCTTTCTAGACCAGATAAAGGATCGGGATGGGTGGTAATAGACAGATCCGAGTATGTCGCCAAAATCCACCTTATTTTGCAAGACTCAAGCAAGTTCATGTGCGATACAGTCCAGAAGGACAGGACCACAGAAGATGAAACTAACATCATGAAAGTCTTGAAGGAATTAAAACAGCTGCATGTGATAAATGACTCTATATTTGATCGATTAAATCCTGTTGGCTCTCAGCCACCCCGGCTTTATGGTTTACCTAAAGTACACAAGCCACATGTCCCCATACGTCCTATAATTGATACATCGGCATCCGCTTTTTACTCTTGCAAAATGGCTTGCCGAATTACTGGAACCCGTACGTAATACACTATCCACACGCTCTCTAAGAGACACATTTGAAATAAAATAGTACCTTAATAATTCCAGATAAGAAAATTTGACCCAGTCACTTCGTGCTGTGCGACCACGGTTGATTCTATCTGTGATTGATGACAGTGCACGAACTGACCGGTAACAACTATCTCATTCGCATAAATGGTCTACCTTCCTTTGCCAATAAGTGGGATCAATACGAGAAGCTTTGTGGAACAGAGAAACAAGAACCGAGAGTCAGGCATACTGCATGTAATCGAATATATGGAAGCGATTGTCATTACTGTTATTATCGTGATTATTCATATGAAGCGTAAAATAATACGGTCGTTTCAACTCACCCAACTGACGAGGAACCGTTGGCTGGTAGGGGAAAAAGTGAGTATAAGTTCAACAGATAACCTCGAACGTCAGTTGAATAGTAACACAATGGGTGCAAATTGGAGTGAAGGGAGAATTAAAGAATTTACCACTCATTCATCAGAAAACTCAACATGAATCCACACAGCTAGTGACGTTTTACTCAAATATTTTCTACTTACACAAAAATCTGCGCACTTAAACTGAATTCAGTGGTAACAATTTACACCCTGACGCATCCATAAAAGATCTGGCAGTTGCGCCAAGCCACAGTTTATCGTGGACACTTCAAGTAGATGGAATGTTCACACAAAAGCCACAAGTTGCACGTTCAGTTTCAAGTCTATACTCGTCAACAGTTCCCACTTTTCCTCGTGTGGCTAAGCACCACACATGTGCAACAGTATTAAACGTTATGACCTCACGTGATATTTCTGAACATGCTCAAATTTTGGTAACAGTGTTGCAGCACCTGTGCAGATGGATGCGTCCAATTCGGGTAGTTAACACAAAAATAAACCAGTCTCAACAACGTTTACCTACCCAACTAAACTTCTAACAGCACCGTGGTACAGTAATTGTTGTGAGCAATTAGGTATACTTAGTCCTTGTCATTTTGATCTTCAAAAGAAGCAATCTTCAGAACTTCTAAGAGATGAAACCAATGCTCCAGCCCTGATAGCACCATCGGACGGCCAAATGTCCGATTTTTGTCTGCTTCCGGATTTAACTCGGTGCGTGGAAGACAAAAAGCATGTGACACCGTTAACAGCTATACCGAATGCTGCCTGAACGATCAGATTTATGCAGCAACGTAAAACAGAAGGGCATGCGAGTAGATGGCTACGCGCACCGGTAGGTTCTGCGCGTTTTTCTAAGTGTTCGATATCCGTCCGATATCGGAGTGAAATCAGTTCGTGATAAAAGATGTCTCTAAAATAGGAGGAAAAGATCGTGCCTAGCATGTTTCATCACATTGCTTCATTATTATCGCGTACGGTAGCCTCTGCGCAATACATTTTTCCTGCCTCAAAAAGTGGTGTTCTGGGGGCACCGCGAAAAGGTTCCGTAGGTTTCTTCAATACCAAATGCTATCTGAATTGCTAACATGCAGCAACCAGCAGGAATGGGGATTTGGAATCGATGGAAAACTGCATTGGTAAGTGCTGCCAATTTTTGTCTGGACGGTCCGATTTCCGTCCGAAATTCATTCCGTTGGAGCTTTTTCTGACAGAAATAGGACGGTCACCGGCTTGAAATCGGTCACTCAGTGGACACGCGTGCTACAGGGAGACTCTGGTAATAAAGCTAAAAAGGCCAAATTATTTCAGGGTATAAGTAACCTCAAACATAACATACGTCACAGTATACGACTGAACAACATTCCATAAACCCGGCTTATACGGGTGAATACTCCTCATTGTCTTTCGCAGAGCCCTATAAATCGTCGATAGTAGACATTTCAGCTAAAGCTACCGATCTCAACATTGTTGAAGTTGAACAAAATGGCGCAAAAATCTTAAGCAATTCCGTGAGATCGAATTTTTTCCTTGGCTCAGATGGAATGGCTCAGATCTGCTCAAAATCGAAGAGCCTGGCATCTCTATACTACTGTTAAACATTTTCACATTACCCATGCAGCTCGGCGTTGTTTCTGATACGTGGAAGTATGCTCCAGTTACAGAAATATATGCAAGCAGTCGATGTCACATTTGTACGAACTAACGCCCCGATAGCCACACCTCCATTTTGTGCAGCAAAGTGGTGAGGGCAGTGAAAATAAAAACCGTTGAATTTCTATCGTACTGGAAATCGATCAACACTTCGCGCCAGGGGTGTATAAGAGCACAATCCTATATAATCTGTCAAGTGAATTTTTTTAAAGTTCATACCACTAACCGTGGTAAACGCCTGAAAAATCATATTCCCCGATACACGTGAAGCATTCAACCGGGTACTGGACGGGAAAATTTATCGAAACTATAATCTTTCGGCACATATGGTTATTCGCATACTTATAGTTTGTTGCGCCTTCTGATCGGCATCACGCAATGCAGATACTGGACAACGTTTCCACGAAAATACGAGTCACAAGCAGAATAGTTCAAGGAAGCCTTCTAGGTGCACTTTGCTTTTGATATATATGTATGACACATTCGATATCTTCAACAAAAACATCAAAATTATTGACAAGTCCGATGGGGACATCAGCCAACAGGCAAACGGATCTAAATGACAGGGGAAATTGGTGCGGAAAACTATAATTCTGATTTGAAAAATGTAACGGTATGTGTTGTTGTTACAATGTTACGCCTAATTCATTGACACTAGACGGTAAGGAACTGTCCAGCTGCCTCACAATCGCTGATCTTGGGATGCATCCCCCAGTTCGCTTTAACTTCACAGAACAGGTGCAGTGCGCAGTTGCAAGGACCCGTAGACCAGAAGGACTGATGCTAGTATTCTTCAAGGTGAGTAGTAACTGTCTGTATAAAACTGGTATTCGTCCTCTATTAGAATATTGCTCGAGAGAATTATCCAATCTGAAAACAATTGACGGGATTGCAATAAAAAAGGTACCGCGCTCCATCACAAAGCGTGTGGCACATTAACAATGTTAGTGTGAGATGAAAACCGAGCCCATCTGGCTGAGGAGACTAAACTTATATCCCATGTGATCCATAAAAGAGTAATTACTCCAAACATCCAGGTGACACTTCGGCTTTCCGTCCTTTAAATACGATGTAAGAAGTAGGTATAATACAAAACCGATCGACAAAGTACGAACTGGTTTACGAGCAAAGTTCTTTCCAAATATCTACGCAGTTAATGAAATAAGCTAGTACAGAAGTTGACAACGTGTGATTAGCCGGTTTTCGGCAGCTAAATAAACAGGGTTGGCAGTCAGTAAAGTAATGCATATACTCAGGGTAGGGGTGGAGGTAACCCCGTTACAGGAGCAAGGGCCCAATGAGATACAATGATTAACATCGAACTCACTGAAACGTAGAAGCATCCGTCCTCCGCCAAATCTCTCGCTCGCTTCCTATCTAAGGCCAATGAAGCCCAATTGGCCTGTGGCAGTACGCGCGCATTGACATATTTGAAAGTCTCTGTGCCGCCCTCATGTGCTTATGAGTACTATGTTCGTCCAGGCAACTTATACAGTCGGATCCAGCCCTCAACCTTGCCTTCAGATACCACTCCACCTCACGCTCCTATTTTGCCTGAGTTGACTTGACCTTGACTTTTATGTAACCGCATGAGAACATAATCCTCAGAATTTCAACATTCCATATTGACATAATGGACACGGATACTGAGCAGTGCCACTGAAAATGTCAAATGACGATCTATCGATCCCTTGGATATAAGACATCAGCAGTACGCCGGCAGGCAGTACCGACGCTTCGCTGCCGCGAAATCGCAATCAGTCACACGTGAGCTATGAATACTGCGAGGGTCGCCCGGTCCCTACACAGGTTCGCATCCAAGCCCTCGGGTAACAAGGCAGACTTGTGATGCTTAAGGCTACGGACCGGCATATTTACGACACTGACTGCACACAATGTAAACGATTTCTTGGAAGTCTACGTGCACGAGCACGCGGTCTCATCAGAGCAAGAGATAAACTAGTTGTCGATAGATGCTCACGGATTATAAACGCATTGGCGAACAACTGATGCAAAACCGAGACGTTCGGTACTACGCAAAAAAATAATAAGCGTCAATTGCACACAGCTAATTCGTGCTGACGGTTCGCAACCATACGACAGCAACCGGTTGTGCACAGATTGCGACAATGCTGAACAACACGAAGTTAGGCGAAAGTGGTGACCCTGTTCAGCTGCTCAGGCCAGACCACGGTTCCTAGATTGTGTAACTTTCAAAAGGCATAATGCGGTCGACTTGACGCGTTTCTAACCACACGCAAACCTTCCAGTAAGATTAAATTCGTGAATAAGAATCGAAAAACGGTGGCTTACCGGGGATAGGTTCAGTTGGAATGGTGGATGTTATTGTGCTTGATATAGGAACAGAATCTGAAACTGTGGACACGCCAGACGAGATGAAATGCGATGAAACACGGGTATCTTCTTGATCGATAAGGTTAGTGCTCTTAACTGGAAGGGAATCAGAAGTTGGTTGGATAGTCTGGGCTGAATCAATAACGGTAAGAACTTTTTGATTCGATAGGATACTCGACGGGAACAAAGAAGTTCCAAATGCAGCCGGGACTCCAAACGTGGGGTTAACCGCAGATGACTGGCCCGAGACAACCCTTGCAAGTAAATTTTGGCGCTGTTCACGGCGAGCTGCGAGACGCTCGCGTAAAGAGTGTTGCTTGGCCTTTGCAGCCTCTAGTTCATCCATTAGGAAGAAGGCAAGCAGCTCTGGAACGTAGGGTGTGAAGGTGAAAAGCAATTAAAACGCAAATAATGGGACAAAAATTATATTACAAAGTAGATGTGTGCAGGAGCAAAGTAGATCTAGACATCAAGTGGTGCCATTATCAGGATGAGTCAACGAGGGTTTGCGAGCCAATTAACAACATTGGTTGGGACGTTACACTCGGCCGGTGGCCGAGTGGTCTGCGCACCTGGTTTGCAACCATAAGGTCACCGGTTCAAATCCGCATAGGGTTGGGCGTCCTCGCGGTATACACAGCCCGCGTGACTGGTGGTGGTCGCGCGGCAGCGAAGCGCCGTTACGGCGTACAGCTGGCGCATTGTCATTATTATTATTATTATCACTCATTCCCAAAGTGGAGATGACAAAAAATAAGCGCCTCATAGCCATCAGGAGTGAGCCGTGACGGAAAGTAAACTAGCACGGCATTGATACAATAGGAGCCCAGCACAAAAATAGTGGGCCATATTGTTGGTGGCAAAAGATATGTTTCGATCATGGGTCAAACAATGATGCCCCAATCCGGGTTGACTATAGCGATTATAAATAATGCATCAGAGCACATTGGACTCAGCTATCTTGAAAATAATAATATGATAGACAAAAGCAACAACAATAAAGAGGACAGTGGACGCAAATAAACAGAAGAGTGGCCATATAAAATGGATGAGAAAGTTTCACAGTCGTCGAGGAGGAATAGTCGAGGGATGGAATCAGACGGTGGATGCGGCAGTAAAACTAAATTCGCGAATGAGCAGTGTGAAACTGGGCATCCCGCATTTAGTTGGCCGACCCCGAGTCCGTAGTCTACGCGAACGATGCACCACTTCGAATCAAGCTCACCGACAACTTCATCTTGTTTGTCCAGGTTGTGACCCCCACAATCCGGTCTAATCTTGATATGTAAAGTATAGGTAAATACTTCACCATAAGGCTAAGTACTCAGCATGCATTTATAGAGCGCGACCTGTGCTCATTTCTTCTCCAACCCTGTGATCGAACTAATCGTGAAAGATTCCGTCTCCTTAACATCTTCCAGAGTAGAGATGTTACAGCTAACCGAATGACAAACCTTGAGTATGCAGACGACATAGCTCTCCTTGGGTCTGACGCAGTGGTCATGCAAATATTAAATAAGCTAATAGATAGCGCTGCACGTTTCGGTGCGTGCTTGGTATTTTCAAAATGCAAAGTGGTGTTGCAGCATTGGTCCGAAACGCAACTGACTATTCCCTTCCTCAAGCAGCCAAGGGAAGTGGTCGATCGGTACACTTATCTTGGTAGTTGTGTTACATCTGGTGGTAAGGTCCCCTTCGCGCATCAGCGAAGCCCATGTGTCTATCCTGAGATCCAACCATTTATGGAGGCAGGGTGGTGTCCGTCTATCAGTTGAACGTAGGGTTAATGACGCAATGGTAAGGCCGGGGTCACTGATCAGTCCGCACTTAAGACACTAAACGTACTTACGGAGTATCGCTCATATCTGGTGAGAACACCGGGTGAGCAACCTTGGGGTCCGCCATTTGGTGTTCGATAGAAAACTACAGTGCCTCACTGGATTGTTTGTTAAAGTTGAACCGCTTACAGTGGCTAGGTCAAGTCCCCCAGATACCCACTGACCGCAATCCTTGGCGTACATCAGATGCTGTCACTGCCCTTAGTTGCACAAAGCCGCGAGGTGTCCTATCTATGCTGTGGCATAAAGGCATGAATAAATTTACCGAAGACTTGATCAGGCTGGTTGCCGCCATCTTCGTTCACAAGGACTTCGGGATGATTCACACTAGTGAGTGGAGACTCCATCGGACATGGCACAGTTGCGCAGTTAACGGCGCACCCGCGTTTGGTTTCCATCATTTGGCTGTTAATATTTCAACCCGATTACTTTTACGGACTTTTCTCTTAGCTCCATTCTCTTCGTATTCTGTCTGAGTTCCATCACATTTTATCACATCACTATATTGCTATCGCGGCGACGGGGTCCGTAGCGAATAGCAGCGATAGTACGGATTCGGTGTCCCTGCAAGATATGATCAAGACTTACTTGCCACGATCATATAAGACCAATTACTTGACGCGCTCCACGAGAAGTGGTCAATTATCTTATTTATTCAGTAATAAAGACAGTATAATAACGTGTTGATGTTTTGCGAGCTGTAAGGGAAGGTTGAAATAATTGTTTGTGTTTGCCGCAGCGTGAGAAGACAGACATTTAGTGATTTGTGCCTTAATCACCAAGCTTTGTGATCGATGGCAACCAGAACCCACCGCATGCAGATTGAATGCATGCTCACAATAGGGTACATTATTTAAAGGAGGGCTTAGTGCGGTGGGTGATAGAGCACGCCTTTGTGCAGCATGTCAATTTTCCAACCAGAAAATGTGGCAGGAGTGTGCACTCTTCCTTATATGTTGCAATCATTAAACATAGTCGGTTGTCAGCCATTACCGTGGAAATTGTCATAGGTAAGGGCCATCACTTTGTTCTTACCTCCATTAAATTGCCAGATACCGTTTAAACCCCGTTTGATGTTGAGTTTAAACTGGACGAATATCATGCTTTTGAGGGATACAGCTATAGACATTTGCTGGATTCCTGAACAGGAGACAACACTGGAACAGAGGTGGCATTTGATCAAAATGGTCTCACGCAGTTTCTAGTTTTCTCCTATCGGCAGACTATGCCATTCGGATAAGCTCCGCTGCTGGCGCCGAAGAATTGGTAGTGTTGGAACAGCGGAGTGAGTCGGATAGATTCTGTAGATCGTCGAACCACAAAAGACGTCAAAGTTTGTTCGTCGAATTGGAAGCAAGCCAAATACTCTCACGAGCATAGTTCAAAGACGAACTCAAACGCTATCACAGCTATATGCAGTCGAAGGCAACTTTAAGTAAAGTACATCGACCGGACAACAGGTATTCAATCACATCGCAGTCGAATTGGGTAAGCGGGGGCAAAATGGAGAAAATCGATCACTTTAACTTCTTTGGATGCTCTTTCTGTTCTGAAAGGCTTAAACCCCGAGAAATCCGGCCCTCATAATGTGCACCCAGCAATCGTCTAGACTATTGTCAATACTCTGGAGCTCCCAATCCTTGGATGGTACAGCATGCCTCTTCTTGAATAACAAATAATGCAAGGTTGGGATTCCAATTAGGGAGTTCTGTCGGCACGACAGTCCGTTGAGAGTCCGAAATAAGTCTCGAGTGAGCATGAGTCGAACAAAACCAGTTACCAGTGTGAGGTGGTGTGTGCAAGGTTGCATTCCTGGTCGTTTAGGTCGTAACAGAATATATGGATTAAAAAGAATGAAAACATGGCACGGAGTCAACCGTCTCGGTCATTCAAGATCGCTTGTGCAGCCCTGACGTACCCACGTGACGACAGAAGGTCGAACATTGTATCTGTGTCGAAACGCAAGCTATCAAAATGCTGGTCGATTCGTTGCTTGAAACGACAGATTCGGCGAGGACAATGGAACCAGGCAACGAGTTCCAGAAAGGTCCCACACGATGAGCGAAACATTAATTGTGAGAACGTTATCCGTATGCGTGATATCCAGTTTATAAACATGCCCACTAATAACCGATGTAGCTGTAAAACATACACTTTAGCTGAGGAAAATACCCAGGATTAAGGATTCGGTACGTGGTAATGAGATCGATCCTTAGCCTCCTATAGACCAAGGTGTGGAGCCGCAACGTTTGGCGCCGCCGTTGGTAGGATAGTCAATGAAACGTAGGGACAAAGCGAGAGGCCAAGCGTTGTACTTTCTCTAATTTTTTCATCTCGCATTTTGTGCTGGGGTAGTAGGCTGGTGCGCCATATTCTAACAGTGGGCGCACGGAGGACACGTATAGCTTGACAGCGATTTCCTCTGACCAAATGCAGAATGTCCGTTTCAGTGACCAAAGCATACGGAAACTGGAACAGTAGACTTTGTGTGTATTATCTGTCGACTCGAAATCCCAACTAGATACCACACAGAGATCCTTCCCCGTTGTAGCAGGGTGTAGCTCTTGACCACCAGTATGGTATACTCTACAACTACAATACTTGCCTATGCTGAGCAACACGAATTTTTCGGGGTTCAGGTCAGGTCAGGTTCCCAGAACGGTATAGGCTTCCGCCTAACGAGCGTCCTGCTTCTTGCACCGGCAAGCAACCAAGGGCTCCCGGTACTTCGACTTTTAATTGCATTTCTTGCTTCTGCGAAGAAAATGAAGCAAAAAGAAACAATCTTGTACTTTCACCATTCTGCAACAGCATCAACAAGTTTACAATATTTATGGAAAAAGTTCTGACCAATGTCTGTTTATATCTCTCTTGAAGATGTCAACCGTTGTGCAGTCCATCAACGAAGGGGAAAGTTTGTTCCAAATGCCAACAACGCGGTTCGCAAAGTAGTTCCCCTGATGTCTAGCCGAGACATCCGATGCTTGAGCTTAAGATGATGACCTCTCAGGTGACCTGATGTAGCTGGCTCATACAGGTCGGTAGCCTTGATGCCACTGAGGCCCTACATGATTCAAAAAAGCTCTATTAGATCTCTCAATTTACGCCTTTCTATGAAAAACGATCCCAAGCTCTTTAGACGTTCAGCATACGGCTTTTCCGTTCGCCCTCAATCATTTTAGTCGCCAGTTTCTGTACCTTCTCTACACAAATAACATCCTTCCGGAGATACGGCGCCCACGTTTGGACATAGTATTCTAAGTGGGGTAGTACCATCGCTTTATATCATGGGAGGAATACCGATCTAAAGTTACATGAGGCGGAAGAATTCCTGCCGCGCCTTGTTGGCAACAGGCTGACATTGTGCTGAGGGTTTGAAGTTATTCGTAACAATGACACCTAGGTCCCGTGCTTTATCAACAGGCTGCAATGTCAGGGGTCTAGTAGAAGCCTGCAATGTACTCCCAGCATTGCTGGAAGTCAGCAGATGACATTTACTGGCGTTAAGGGACAAATCCCATATGACAG